TGATATTGAATCTGTAACTTCTATTGCCTGTAAACATCAGAATATATAAAGCTAGACATTTCAGTAAATAATGATTCGAGTTTGGTAAAGTATACATATTTTCAATTCCATATAAATGTTTAATAATGTCAAAGATTTGCGGAAATTTTCTGTTTAGGAATGAAATAGGTGTCTCTTTCATTGTTGTAACAGTATATATAGTTTTTGGTGCCTTTGGCTATAGGCAGCATGAGCGAAAAGAATATGCAGATGAATGATGGAATACCATAAAGCTGCACAAGACACAATCATGCAAGGATAAAAGGTGAAAAGTGAAATAAGACAATGGGATATATCCATGCCCTACTGCTAGTTCTCAAATACATATTATCTTTGATACCTTGTTTCTATTCTCTCTCAAGTACTGGGAAGTTCTAATCTCTCTCATTTTAGCTGCTTTGCATGATGTAATGTAAGCAATTTAGTAACAATATACGGAATATACCTTTTATAGCTGTAATCAAAACGATCACTAAATGCACACCTATATATAGATCTGTTTGAAGACGGTAGTCACCGAAATCTTTGTAAGAGGTCCTGGGAGCTGGCAAATAACAATATTCCTACAGAGTATAATTATCTATTCTGGCATATTGCTGAATTGCACTTTATCCTTAAATGTAAACAATATAGTGCGTGTATAAGCAGCCAAATCGTATAATCTAAACGTCTGACTTGTTTATACCGGAATATCTCACAAAAATGTTGTTTCAGATTAAGAAAGATGTCCAAACTAAGCAAATGTTAATTTTTTGAGGACAGTTAAGTAAATTTCTTACCTTGGAACTGAAACAACTGAACATTTGTCAAAATTTTCAAACACCAAACATTGAACTAATCAATTAGTGACTATCAGTTAAACAAAGTTACGGTTAATAATTTGATACTTTGTCTATTGTTGGGTTACAGATGGTATCTTTAATTGTTATTAAATGTGAGGCATTGTACCCAGTTTACGCAACCCTTTAACCCGTATAGGTTTACCACTTAAATGATGTGTTTAATGTACAAAAGGTTAACACATTATCACTCTATTGTCCATGTTGTCAATGGCCCAGACCGTCGAAGTTCTTCCATTGCCAGATATCATACCTCCATATAACAGGTGCAACGATAACTTAATTGAGTTCTGTAGGCAATGGCAGTCTTATCAAAACAGATTGTTTTTGGTGTTGTGTACCCTTTTGTTTTTACACATATTTTTGTTGTTATAACCTTCTTTCTATCTTCCTCCTTTATTCTTCGTCCAAACACTTGCGCATGAAGGTATAGATTGAAATATATATTGATACACTCAAAAATAAACGTTTAGAGACAAGAATATACGGGGCACGCGAACCAAGAAGGTCTAAGCCACATTGTTTTCCCACTTAAAAACATACATAGATCTGTATTGTTTTTCTCAAACCAATTCATTGAGCTTTAACTGAGACTTCTATAACAGTATAGTAACAGACTTGAACCATAACGGTTAAAGCAGCAAAGCTCCTTAAATGCAACAAAAATGAAATGTTCACCTTTATATAGATATCTCAAATGTGTATGCGACTAAAACATATGGAACTGTGTATGGATATCGAAAAACTTATACATGTGATTTTCCGAGTTACACAAATTAAATATCCTATTAATAGGAATACAAATGCATTTATATAGAGAGTACACGTAAATATCAAAAGTTCAATAACTTGATTTTTAGACTCCCTGTCCTACAAAGTTGATTTTAAAACCATATGTTATTGAGATGCATACTTTTCTTAGAGGATGATTTCTTGATGAACACCAAGAGGTGTTCAAGCTTATTGCGTTGATGTCATTTAGTATCCGAGATTTGAAATTTAACATCAAACTTTAATATATCAATGTAGTTTAAAATAAGGGTAGAGTGATATATTTTTTATGTGGGAGACTACTGATACAGGCTTCCTTTGATACATTGTTGGATCAACGTTTATAGTTGTATCAGAAATCTTGACGTAAAACATACAAACAAGTGAAGCGTAAAATATAGAACAGAGTGACCTACTTTTTTTTTTATTATCCTCGACATCCCTTGATGCATTCTAACATCCATTATGTGAATGAAGGTAACTTAGTAAATGAGACATGAACTCGGACGTTAAACTTTATATTATTAATGAAGCTTAAAAACATAACTGAAGCCACGGAACCGCGAAATATTTATCAAGTGTTCTTCATGACGATCAATTAGATGCACATTAAATATGTCGCTGCAGCAGACGTCCCTACAAATGTGCATGTGGACGCTGGAGAAACTTCATAGATCTTCTCAACTAAGCTTCGGTGATCTTAAAGATCTGTACGGTCATAGCTGTGAAACCATAGGTTTTGTGACTTAAGGTTTTGTGATATTTTTCAGTAGTATGATGCTCACAGAGGTAAAATCTTTCTGAAGGGCAATTACTCCTATAATGAGTTCATTTGAAATTTAGGTTCAATTGATTTATTTGTAGATCTTAGTTTGCGGATCCTCTTTGTTCAGTTTGCAGTTTCTCTCAAATACAATTTTAATGAAAAAAATTCTCAAATGCAAAAAATGGCAAAACTTTTTATTAGATCGGTTATGTTATTTGTAGGTCTTAATTTGCTGATCTGTTTACTTTTTATAGTTTTCAATCTTATCGCAAAGAACGCCAAAAAAAAAAGATACCTAAATTTGTTCCGTCATCTAAGGGCGATAACTCCTCTAAGAAGTCATAAGCCATCTGATTTTTTTAGGAATACGGGAAAAGACAGATCTTGATATTTTGTTCATGTTCATCCTTGTCAGATTTTTATCTATTATGGTTTCAAGACATTTGACAATAACTTGCATTTCCCCATATTTTTTTTTAGCCATGTTGATTGATTGGCGTAAACAAAAAACACAAACTTATCAACAAGTTTGTGTGTTTTTCAATCAAGTAAATACTGTAAGGCTCATTCAGACCAAGTAACAGTTTAGTAAAAATTTGTCAATTGGTTTCAGACAGCAAAAGTTATTTCTAAGTACTTGTATGCCTAATAGTGAATCCATTCGGCAATATAATTAAAATATAGATGGAAGTATTATATTGATTTTACTTCCATGGTATAACGAAGTCAGAGATCTTTATTTTAATTAGATTGTCCTTTCAGTAGCTTTGGCTTGTTTAAGACTTGGATTAATGAACTAGGATACTACTGTATAATTCAAATCTAAGTGAATTTATCCTGCTGTTATTTTGGATGTCACAGAACAGATCTTGTTTTAACAATATTGAGATTATACTTTTCTCAAGTTTTCTTTATATTTTTTCAAAACATATTTCATTGTATCCAGTAGTCATAGAAATCCAGTTAAGAAATGAAAACTTGGGACAAAAGACAAATTATGTATATGGAATATGTGTATACCCTTATAAGTTGTAATAGTTTCATTCAAAACAGTTTTGTACACCAAAACTGAACATTTTAGCTTGAGGAAAGTTTTGATAATCTGGAAAGTTCTTTTGAGATGGTTTATCATACTGGCAAACTTATTCAAAATATCCATGGGGGTTTTGTTTTAAGCACAAGAGGACCTAATGCAACTCCTGTACTACCTGCAATAAGTGTTTTTAATCTAATTTTTAAATGTTATTTTTGCCACAGTATGCGAGGCATAGGGATTACTATCCGGTGGAAAAAGCTTTATATTTCAGAACTTCTGAATCGGAAGGTAGAAGACCTAGTGCTTCATACCTTGTATGCAGATACCACATGTTACGAAGTTTCCGTCTGTCATATGTCCATTGCCCGTGACCTCATTTTCATGGTTCAGCGACTTGATTTTTTCTTTTTGTCATGTGAATTTCTCACTTTATATTATGAATAATAGGATAACTATATATGGTATATTGGTTCCTTGTAACGTCTGCATGTCTGTCAGACAGGGTTCACCTGATCTAGACCTTATTTCATGGATCAGTGATCAAGGTTAAAGTTACGTGATTAGGTCCGTTTCTCAGATACTATAAGCATTAGGTCAGCTATATGTGGTATATGGAATGATTGTAAGGGGTACATGTCAGCCTGGCAGGTTTTACCTGACCATGGCCTTATTTTCATTGTTCAGTGGTCAATATTAAGTTTTTGTGTTTTGGTCTGTTTTACAAGTTGTATTAGCAAAACGGTCAACTATATTTGGTGTTTGGAATGATTGAGGGTGTATAGGTCTGCCTAGTAGGTATCATCTTACCTTGACCTCATTTTCATGGTTTATTAGTCAATGTTACATTTTTGTGTTTTGATCTGTTTTTCAAGTACTACATGTATAAGCAATAGGTCAACTATGTTTGGTGTTTGGAATGATTGTAAGGTGTACATGTATGTCTAGCAGGTATTATCTGACCTTGACCTCATTTTCATGGTTCATTGGTCAATGTTAAGTTTTTGTGTTTTGGTCTGTTTTTCAATTACCATTTGCAATAGGTCAACTATATTTGGTGTATGGAATGGAATAATTGTAAGTTGTACATGGCTGTCTGACAGGTTTTATCTGATCTAAACTTCATTGTCATGGATCTTTAAAAATGTTAAGTTTATGTGATACTTGTAGTAAAACCTTTATCTTTAAGACTTTCAACATAAAATCAATGGTCAGTAATGCAAGCGAGACATTTCAGCGTGTGCACTCTTGTTACTCCTTTGAATACCTGTTTTGAGGTATTTAATTCATATAAAAGTACAAGTCGGGTCAGCACCTTTCATGGATGGAAATTCACTATGAATTGAGAGAGATGGCAGGTTTGGGTTTATTTAGGTTGACAGTTGCACAAAGATGTCAAAAAGAGAATTACAGGAAGGAAGTGGTTTAACTTTATGCAATGTAAGTATAGATAAATCATGATATGATGCATCACTTGATCACTGGAGAAATGCTTTTAATTCTAAATGGATATAGAATGTTGTCAGTATAAGTAAGGCGATAAATCACAATATTGTATGTAGAGAAATTTATTATTTTATCAACAGTATCAATAACAAATATTCATCAAATACAACATGCATGCTGCCTTAACTCGTCAAACAGAAAAAAATATTTTTGTCAAGCACTAAAATACATTTTTGAACCACTTAAACATGCGAACGCTTTTAAAGCCTTATTCACAACTTAACCTTTAATAAAAGGAGATGAAGGACAAAGGATAAAGGTCAATGAGGCATCAGCTCACCATATCAGACTAAAACTATGACAAGCTACACATAAAATTCTTGATTCCCTCCGCCCCACATAAAAAACAATAGAGCCAGTGACAAACCTTGTCGAGATTCCAGACATCAGACAATCCCATCAAAATGTGGCAGGATTATACTTGTTATGATAGTATTCTTTTACAACATTTACAAACAAATTGAATGATTAATTCTCATTCCTCCTTATATATTAGATTGTGTTCCTTGCAGAGGAAAAAGTCATTTTTTTTATCATACATTATATGAACTAGCAATAACTATTAAATTCAAGAAAACACTTTTACAGCTCATACAAAGTTATCAGTTATGAAGTTAACATTTTTGTACTACAATATCATTCATTGTCTTAATCTGACAATAAATCCTAAAGTTAGTTTTAACATTTTGTTTGTTAACATTACAGTAAAGCTCAAACCAGCATAAACAAAAAAGGCAGACTCACAATATTGTCTAGTAAATTATAATAAACAAGAAAAATCATGAGCAGAGCTCAAAAACGTATACCCTCTCCAAATCATATTGGTAAGGAAAATTTATATCCCCTTTTGTATCAATATGGCAAAGTTCATGCTTTGTAATGTGAAAGACCCAAAATGTTTTTTAAAAAGAAAATAAAGGGAAAGAGTAAACAATGCCATAAGATATTAAACATTCTTTGAAAGTTTCAAGGAAATCTAGTCACTTTTTTAAATAGGTCTGCAAATACAAATTATGGACTGACAACCCCACAGACACAATGATCAATATAGACCACTGCTTCACTAAGTAGGGATATTAATTAGCAGAAAGCTGATTAGTCAATTATTTGCTGCTAGTGTGTAGTCTTCCATTGCTCTATCCATGAAAGAATTTTATCTAAATTATCCTCCATATCATCTGGAGTATTACTGGCCAGTTCATGGACTATTTCTGTTTTATATGAGTCTCTAGCTTCCTCTAAAATTGTCTGAAATATTTCACACTGTATATTATCTTCTAACTTCTTTCCATTATAACCCCTGAAATAAAAATATCAATAATTAGTTTTATCTTCTAGCTTATTTCCAAAAAAACCCTGAAATAAACATATTAATAATTAGTTTTATCTTCTAACTTCTCTCATTATAACCCCTGAAATAAATATATCAATAATTAGTTTTAGGCTATATCTCTGTCTATCATCCATTTGACAGAAAATTAACTTTATAACTGATATTTCATTTCCTTAGTATACATCTTGTTTTGCATTAGTAATTATAAATGCATAAAGTTCTCTGACAAAAGTTACACTGTTTACAATAGGTTCATATAGTGTATGGTTCTGAAGGCTTTTCTTCCTTAGGAATAGATTACCTTAGCTGCAAAACTTTTAGGAATTTTTTGTCCTCAATGCTCTTCAATTTCGTACTTTATTTGGCCTTTTTAACTTTTTTTGATTCGAGCGTCACTGATGATGTAGACGAAAGGCGAGTCTGGCGCAAATACAAAATTTCAATCCTGGTATCTATGATAAGTTTATTTACAACCACTGGGTGGATGCCACTGCTGGTGGAGTTTTCATTCCCAGAGGGTATCACCAGTCATGTAGTCAGCACTTCTGTGTTGACAAGAATTATCATTGATATTAATTATAAATTAACTGTTTACAAAAGTTTGAATTTTTGAAATACTAAGGCTTTTCTACCTTAGGAATAGATTACCTTAGCTGTATTTGGCAAAACTTTTAGGAAATTTTTGGTCCTCAATGCTCTTCAACTTCATACTTTATTTGGGCTTTTTTTTAATTTTTTTTATTCGAGCGTCACTGATGAGTCTTGTAGACTAACTGTGCGTCTGGCGCAAATACAAAATTTCAATCCTGGTATCTATGATGAGTTTATTCTTAAAATAAACTGTTGACACAAAGATATATGTCTCGCCTGTCTGCAGAAAATTCAGAATATTCAATCTGATGGACAGCAATAGTGCTAATTAATTCAAAGTAGCTGGACCATGACCTAGGGGACATGGCCTCATAATAGTCGCCAAACTTAAATGTACTGGTAGTCATGCAACTTTATATAAAATATCCTTGACCTATCACAAGTAGTTCATATCAAACTAACTTCAGCAGAAAACTTAAAATTGAAAATTGCTAATTAATTCAAAGTCACTGGACCATAAGCAAGGGGTGAGGGCCTCAAAATAGTCGTCAAACTGATATGTACTGATAGTAATGCAACTTAATAGAAAATATTATTGGTCTATCACAAGTTGTTCCTATCAAACTAACTTAAGCAGAAAACTTTAACATTGAAAATTGCTAATTTATTCAAAGTCACTGGACCATGACCTAGGGGCAGGGCCTCCAAATAGTCATCAAACTAATATGTACTGATAGTAATGCAACTTTATAGAAAATATCATTGATCTATCACAATAGTTTCTATCAATCTGACTTAAGCAGAAAATTTAACAATTGTTGACGCTGTTGCTGGAAAAGCAACACCTAAAGGCTATGTCTCACCTTCCAATACTTTTGTCACAGGCCAGACAAAAAGCCATAAGTTGCAAATGTAACATTTTTTTGTGATTTTAACATTGTAATGTTAAAGAGAATGTAAATTACAATAATTCCATACACCAAATATAGTTGACCTACTGCTTGTAATATCTGTGATACAGACTTGACCACGAAAACTTATTCTTGATCACTGGTCAATAAAATGAGGTCAAGGACAGGTTAATCTTGTCTGACAGCCATGTCGACCTTACAAGTATCTCATATACCAAATATAGCTATCTTATTACTTATTATAAAAAATGAAAATAACACTTGGAATTTTATGCGTCTGAAGCGTTTTACAAGATTAACATTCACCAGGAAAGCTTAATGCAAAATATTTGAAAGTGAAGGATGTAAAAATACTGAAACAAGTAAAGAGATATATGGCCAAAATGGACCTAAAAATAATAGCCAAATCCATCTAAGGTCAACTTTGCATGACAGAATTGGAACCTTAGAATAATTTCTTAATTTATAAACGGACAATTTAAGAAATATATATATGTTAGACTAAGATCGACGTCCATTCCTCAAATCGACGTCCAATATAAAGTCACATTCTAAAATCAGTGTCCAATGTTACGTCGTGTATTTCCAAAACGACGATGTCATATATATATCATTTAATTATTTGTTTTGAGTTTGATTTTTTCATATTTTTTATCGTTTTGTCTTTGTGTAAAGCTACTTAAAGAAACTAATTGTTTTCAATATCTTTACATACTTAACAAATCATAAAGACTTAGTTGACGTATATATATAAGAAGGATCAACAAAGAAGGCAACATCCCGTCCAAAATAATCAACTTAATAAACATCAAAGGACAAGCATTTGTAAATGACAATAAGACAAACACCAACATCATATTACATGTACATGCATATTAATACATTGGTGAAAAAAGTTAATTCCCTCGATCTACATTGTTTTATTCCTTTCATATTCATATAAATAAATGATATGTGGATATAAAACAATGAGAGAAACCCAAACATAATAATAACTGAAGGACACCTAGGGGCAATATACAGTCTGAAACATTAGACAGAATAAATAAGTATACTGTATAGTCAATCATTGAAAAGTACTATCATTTGGACGCTGCAAGATCTTTTTTAACAACTTTTTGAGTTTTTAGGTTCAACCAACCATTTGTATTCGGAAAATGCCTTTATTAAATCAGGAATATGACAGTTGTTTTCTTTAAATAAAATTGTGTCGACATTGCGGCAAGTCCGTAAAAAGGACGTCGATTTGAGAACAACAAAAAGACATCGATTAGAGGGACATATAACTGCCCGTTTATTTGGAATCATATTTCAATATGACGTCAGATTTGAATGCCGATTTGATGAACGGACTTCGATTAGAGACCAAACATTGATTTGAGTCTTACATATATGGGAGATTTTCATATGACAAAAGTACTATATACAGTTTAAAAAGTTGCTAAACTGTTAAAAATGATGTCAAGGACAATAAACATATGACAGACAGAAACTTAGTAACATTACACATCTGTAGACAAGAAAAAAGCATCCAAGTCTTCTACCCTCTGAAATATAAAGCTTTATACAAATAGTTTATGTCTCTGTAGATGGATTGTTATCCCTATGTCTCATATTCTGTGACTTTCGTGGCAGACGAGACAATAAAAATCTGTTCAATATCACTTGTGATAATTTGTATTATAATACTTTACTATAGTAACCACTACCAGTAATCAAATAATTAAGATTTAACTGTATGTTTTTTATTCCTTCAATGAGTATAACCACCTTTTTCTGTGGCAAAATTGTGTGTAGGCAAAACAACTGTTTGTGAATATGCGCGTAGGCAAAATAACTGTTTGGAAATATTCCTGTAGGTAAAATAACTGTCCAGGAATAACCACATAGGGAAAATAACTCGTAAATTTGGTACACAATTGCACGTCAAAATAATAACTAGCTAGTGACGTCATATCGTTTGTTTACATCTGGGAAATATGGCGGCCACCTCAACATTTGGCACACAATCGGATCAGGACAATGAAAACATTTTGAAACAAAATGACTCAAAAAGCACTAAGCAGGCTCCAAAAGTTGCGTTACTATGCTTAAATGAGTATGCAATAAGTACAGATAAATGTGCAATCTTGATTTTTCTAGTTACAGTCAAGGAAATTTGCAAACTTATCTCAAGTTTGTATGTTCATTCAAGGAAAATTCTTTGTATTCATTTCAGTATAATAATACAGTTATGGATTTTATAAAAAGTTAATATCCAAAATTATTAAATCAAGGAAAGGTTATTTCCTACAGACCTTGAGGAAAATAACCTTTCCTCAACTTCATAATTTTGGATATTAACTTTTCATGATGGCCATACTTTTACAGAAGTAGCTGTGTAATTTCTGTCTCACCTGCTTTCTAATCTGGTATACAGAATAGAATTATCTGTCCTCAGAACAAACACAATATCAAACCAACGTTCAGGAAAGAATTCACAACCATGATAATCTATGACGTTACCACCTTGTCCCATTTGATCTTCTAATTCATCAAGAACCTGTAAACAAACAATTCCAATATAAAATCATCAACCAAATTTCCCCCAAAAAATTAGAAATATGAAAAGAAAAAAAAACAAACAAACAGAACTGTTTACACAATGTTAGATACAATGCATGTTTCACTTGCTTTGCAACAAATCAAATACATGTACTAATTTGATAAACTGCCATAACACTACAAGTACTGGTGCACAATGTATATGAAAATAAACATCACTTTTTCAGTATTTCTAATGCTTATCAGATCAACAAATTTATATTAAACAATGTACAATAAAATGTAGTAACTTCAAATCAGCTAGACCTCACAATCTTCTTGCCAATCATGTAATGTATTCAGAATTTTAAAATAATACAATTTAAGGTTTCATAACAAGTGGAAATTGAATATGGCTTTATACAATTTACATGATAAATACACTCAATTCTTTGAAATTAGAAGAAGAGGTGGTACATGTATCAAGCCATACTGCATGACTGATGACTAAAAAAGAAACTCAAACATTAGTTTTCTAAATTTGTATCTGAAATTTGTTTAGATAGACAAATGTTTAATAGAACAACATTGGATCATGGTAAAAATTTAACCTATATGCAATAGAATACATATCTTAATTCTGTCAACAATTTATATTACCCTATCTTCATCTATAATTGGACAGTTGTATTGTGGGTCAAATCCTTCATACAGGTTGCCTTCTTTTGCCAAATCACCAATGTTTATGTAGTTCAGACTTGCCCTTTGTGCTAGTTCTTCTGCCAAAGTAGATTTTCCTGTACCAGGGGTTCCTAAAAGAAAATAAACAACGATACTGATGAATCCATAAACTAAAGGGCCTATAGCCAGAAAACATACATGTACATCTTCTTATATCTATGTACATGTACTCTATGTACTTAATGATTTCAAACTAGAAATAAAGATGAAGGTCATGAGAACATAGTTACTGTCAGAGATACAAACAAATTTACATGCAGGGGGCACTTATTAGCCATAATCTGAAAGCTGAAATGGAAAAATTATCTACTTGAAATTAGTGACTCCTTGTACAATATTTCGACATGAAATTGTGAAGGAGCACTTATGTATATATGTTGAATTGTTCTAAACCTTAACCCATTTACATAACACCCTTTTAAATAATCTTTTCATTATAAATTCTGATGTAAGAATAGCACCTTTAACTAACCAATAGAATTTTAAATTTAAAACTAATGTAAACCTTTAAATTTCAAAATTTTACTTGTAAATATATTCAGTTCCTACACAACTTTTTCTTACACCTCAGCCCATTATGATTAGTTAATCTTATGGTTTAAATCTGTAATGACTATTCAATGAATTAATAATGATATTGCCTTTATTCATTTATCAGTATATAAGTTTATATGTTCCCTTATGTTTTAAGGTGTATATAGTTGCTACAATTATACCCTATGGGTATACGTAGTGCTCAACAATTAATGGAGGAACATACAAGAAACTGAACTGAACTGACCTACATCATGTTATGCTTTTATTTTACATTTATATGTTATTGAAGGTGTTTACTAAGTGTAACAATCAATAAAAAAAAAAAATAAAGTAGAAGAAAGGCGAAAGATACCAAAGGGATATTATTCAAACTCATGAGTCGAAAACAAACTGACAATGCCATACAGGGTCAAGTCATAGCTCAAATCATGATCATGATTGTGAAAGATATTTCTACCACAACATGCACAATCATATCCTATCGTAACTGAGCACATCGGTTCTTGAAGACTGTATCAGAATGTATCTGCACATACATGTAGCCAAAGGGTCCACATGATTCATGAAACTTAATGATCAGCTATGAATGGCCAATCATGATGTTCACAATGGATCACTCGACAGTGGTAAGTTAACCTACATGTAGCGTTACACAATTACAACAATTAGTCATATTTAAGGAATTATTCTTCAATTTTGGGGAACTACATGTATCTCCTATGTCAAAGGTTAAGCTTAGCCTATCGGATGAGGATATCCTATTACATGCTCACCATGCTTGTGCTGTTCTAGTCATCAGAGGTTTAACTATTAGAAGAACTGTGCATAGTTTACTAGCCTTACATAAAATTTTAAGTTATAATTTTTATATGTGTAAACAAGGATTTGTATAGTATCTTATTAATATTATACAAATCCTTGGTGTAAAACAATTTTACAAAAAATGTAACTGATAGAATTGGTGGAGAGAAGAACGTTTTTTTAAAGAAATCAATATTTAAAAACAGTTCCTAGTGAGTCATTGAATAAACAAATTTCAGATATTAAAAGGTACCTGTTATCAATATGTTCGGACCACATGGCCGACCTGTGGCCATTGTTTTGGTTTTTTCGATGTGCATCGGGATGAAAAACTAAAAGTGGAACCAGTCCCGATCATTTGGATATATTTCAATTGTAAAATTCTTCTTTCGAAACTTAAAATGTGCAAAGTTTATAAAAATATTCAGAATAATTTTTTAAAAAATCATGAGCGAAATGTCCTCTTCCAGCGTGTTTTCATGGTCATTATTTTCTCTATTTGATGGAAAACTCCAGAAGTTACCCGAATACCGGAAAATGTAAGCAGAAGAAAATAGTTGATTAAAAATGTCAAGTGAAACAGTTGACAAATACTCCTTGCTGAAAGATAAAATAAAGCGTGACCCACTTTCTGCAGACTTGCAATGGAGCTTATTTGTTGGTGCTCTTCAAAGCTACAGATTTGACACAGTTCTTCGACCCTTTCCACCATCATTTTGTTTAGATAATGGTGAAAAGGATATCAAACGATTGGTAAAACATTATACATGACAATTTTCAAATGAACAGTCAATTACGATCGCTTCATACAATATATATGACAAACAACACAATATATATAAACATATTTAGAGTACTGACTAGTCCAAATAATTATGACGTCTTGAAAGGCTATTATATTTTTTTTTCTTTGACGCCTTACATCGACAGGAACGTCGCAGGAAGGCGTTAAAGCAAAAATTAAAATAGCCTTCAAAGACGTCATAATTATTTGGACTAAGTACTGACCTATTAGTGAATTCACAATCCAAGTTGATATCCACATGGATCCATTTTCGAAATGTGCTGTTTGTTGACACTGGAAGAAGCTAACTAAATGTTACTAGCAAATATACGTAAGCAGGTCTGTGACATAGAATTATCGATGACGCTCACACAGGTAGAACACTGGTGACATCAGCTGATTGATCTGTGACGAAATATTTATTACGAATTGGGCGCCAAACATGTAGTCTGGTTTTGGTGCAATAAATAGGGTACTTATAAAGTGAGAAACGGAATCGAAACAAAACTAAATGCAATATTATGAAATGCAACAAAATATAACGAAAAGAAACGAAATGGAAAATGAAGAAACGAAATCAAAGCGAAATAATATATTTTTAGCCCAAAAGCACTTTAGAATCCGACTCTTTAGGTTTACGCTCTTGATAACAACCACATTAAAACAATATATTTTTAGACACTCAAGTCTGTTTGATCTGTATTATCTAAATTCTTGTCGATGTTTTAATAAATATGACTTCTTATATTGTATACCATTGCATTTATATATATATTTTTTTTTAAGGAGCAATGTGCAGATAAAGTTACCAGTTTACAAGATTTATTGAAAAAATCTGATATTCCTGAAGATATCATAGACCTTGTAACATGGGTATTAGATAAGCAGTTTCAGATATGTTCTATGCAGGATATTGGAGTAAGTTGTCACAATAAATAACAAATCAAATGAGACAAATATGCATTGCATTAAAAAAAATTAGAAAATTAAGGATCACTATATTAGGAAGAAATGTGGGTTATAATAGTAATAGGCTGATTTGCTTAGCTGTCTCTATATTTATAATACAAATGTATTAGCCGCATCACTGACTGCGATTAGTAAACTGGGAGGGTAGGTAAAATTAGAATTAACAATAGGTATTTTCTATTTTTAATGCCTTATTCTTTGCTTTGAAAAGATGTACAGTTGCCTATAACTGCTTACATCCACTTCATTTGAACTTTGGTGGATCAACATCAGCAATCATACCACATCTCCTTATTTTTATCAGATGTTTAATTTTCACCCATTAAGGCTAGTCAACTGTATTGACCACATCCAATTAGACTTCAGCCACTCAGGCTTTACATACATAGCATTATGCATTTAATTGTATTTTTAAATAAAATGCTGCTTAAAATGTTTATATTTTGTTTTGAACCTGAAATACTTTTGGACTTCTCATATTGTTTCAAAGTCGTTAAAAATCTTTTTAAAGTCCCTTAAAAACAAATTAGATTGTAGTTATTCCACCTTAGACAGTATTTTGGCATCTGCCAAATTACAGCTCAAATACTGGGCAGGGTTTTACTACCAAATAAAATAATTTCACTCATAAGTTTATTAGTCAAGGTCAATGTCTGATGAAATGCCAGTATGTTATGGTGAAACATTTTATCATTGTACGCAACACATTATAACCCACTGCCATACAAATTTATATGTAAAATAAAAACAAAAACCCAAAATAAATCAGCGAGTATTTATAGCTGTAAAGACATTGACAGGTTGGACCCTTTACATCTTAACTTCAGTCAATAGTCTTCAGTTTTTATTTTGAAATGTACTGCAATTTCATATGTGTGCACTTGTTCTATTCAGTTGGCTTACTAAGGGCAACTGAACTTGGTCATTAACTTACCTATAACAGTGATCGCTGAAGATAAGATTTCACAAGTTATTTTTATTTTATAGTTTGAGGATCTGAAGAAATTGACAAAGGACACAGGTACTTGTACTAAGCCAGACTACATATTTGAAGTTTTACCCAGTGAATCAGCAAAAGCTGCCTTTGAAGCAAAAAGAGATGGCAGAGCACTGATGTATGCATATCATGGCAGTAGATTTGAAAATTTCCATTCTATTCTTCACAATGGGTTGATTTCCCATATGAATAAGGTAACACCTTTTATAAAAAGTTGTATTATGGATACAATGACCAAGGATGGAATATAACAACAAATATTGATAACAATATATTTATGTTACGATTAGTAAATTAGCTAAGTTAAGAGTATACCATTCAGAAAAGATCCCTCATTGATTTTTCCTTAAGATTTTGATATGCACTATAGACTTATGCAAAGACAAATATACCATCATGACTTACTTTTCAAGATATTTCAGTTTGAAATTTGCATGTTTCATGTAAAAATATGACATTTCATTTTTCAATACTGTTCTGAAAAATAACACAACTTTTCAAATGATTTTTTCTTGCAATTTTGATATAACATTCTTGAAGTAGTACATAGTCAATTGCAAAAGAATAATATTTGGGTCTTTGTGCTCATTTTTATACGACCGCAAAAAAAATTTTGTGGTCGTATATTGGTATGACGTTGGCGTCGTCGTCGTTGTCGTCGTCGTCCGAAGACACATTAGTTTTCGCACTCTAACTTATGTTTAAGTGAATGGATCTCTATGAAATTTTACCATAAGGTTCAATACCACAAAAGGAAGGTGGGGATTGATTTTGGGGGTTATGGTACCCACAGTTAAGGAATTAGGGGCAAAAAAGGGGCCAAAAATAAGCATTTTTGTAACTTCCAGACATAACTTGTGTGTAAGTGTATGGATCTCTCTGAAATTGTACCACAAGGTTCCATATCACAAAGGCAATTCTGGGATTGATTTTGAGGGTAATTGCCTCCAAATTTTAGGAATTAGGGGACAAAAAGGGGCAAAAAACAAGCATTTTTCTAGTTTCATGACAATTACTTGTGTGTAAGTGTATGGATCTCTCTGACATTGTATCACAAGGTTCCATATCACAAAGGGAATGCTGGGATTGATTTTGGGGATAATTGCTTCAAATTTTAGGAATTAGGGGCCAAAAAGGGGCAAAAAACAAGCATTTTTCTAGTTTCATGACAATAACTTGTGTGTAAGTGTATGGATCTTTATGAAATTGTACTACAAGGTTCCATATCACAAAGGGAAAGCTGGTATTGAGTTTGGGGGTAATTGCCCAAAAAGTTTAGGAATAAGGGGCCAAAAATAAGCATTTTTCTAGTTTCCAGACAATAACTTGTGTTCAAATGTATGGATCTCTCTGAAATTGTACTGCAAGGTACCATACCACAAAGGGAAAGCTGGGATTGAGATTGGGGATGTTGAATCATAAGGGGGTTCAAAAAATTGGGGGGGATTTTTTTTTCCTTCTTTTTTCTTTAAAAAATTTTCCATTTTAAATTGGTTATTTCTGATTTATATATAAAAGCAAATAATAATGATATGGTTTGAATAGGTAAATTAAAAAATTTTAAGTTCTTACAATCCAAATTCAGTGCTGTATCAAGCTTGAATGTTGTGTCCATACTTGCCCCAACTGTTCAGGGTTTCGACCTCTGCGGTCGTATCAAGCTGCGCCCCAGCGGAGCATTTTATTAAGCTAGCAACAGAAAAACCATTTTTTTAAATGCTGGAGATCCCATTTCCCTTTGTTGGTGCTAAATTATGTTGCAGTGTATTCTTAATGCAACATCACCATTCATCGAAATGCATTAATTTATTGAGGATAGAAATGTAAACAATCTTCATTTCCATGGAATGTTATGCTCCCTCAGTAGATTTTACATGCTTTAATATACTACATTTGTAAGTTTAGTACATTCTGCATGTTCCTGTGCAAAGTCTGGAGCCTGTAGTTCAGTGGTTGTCGTTGGTTCATATCTTTCATATTTGTTTTTCACAAATTGTTTAGTTATAAATTAGGCAGTTGGTTTTCTAAATTGAATTGTTTCATATTTTTCATGTCAGGGACTTTTATGGCCGACTATACGGTATGGGTTTTTCTCATTGTTGAAGGCCGTACCATTGCCTATAATTTCTTACATCCACTTCATTTGAAAACTTTGATGGATAGTTGTCTCATTGGCAATCATACCACATCTCCTTATTTTTGTACATGTTTGTTTTCTGTAATTGATTTGATGACATTAGTGATTTTTCAGCGAGTTTTGTATGCTTATCATTATCAATGTTGCGAAAACAACACATTAATTTTAGATGCATTATTATATGCTCTTTCTACTGTGTCTTATGCCCATAAATGATTACCGAAACTTGAATATCAACGTGTTCAGAATAATGAATGTCAATAAAAGGAGATGCGGATTATATGTCAATCAAACATCAACCCAATGACTTAAAAACACTTCTAGAGGACAACAATAAAAAGGCGTATATTTTATCTATACAAAATGTCAAACATTAAATCTTCCAGAGTCTGAAAGAGATATGCATAAATAATAAAGAAACAATCAAATATATGCCATCAATAACAAATTCTCCAAATGTACATAAAAATGTGGCAGACAAAACATGTTTTTTAGATCTCTACCCTCCCTATTTTAATTATGATCACTTGCATTTGTTGTTGAGTTGTATTAAATATAGATATATGAATGTAATAACATGCATGTTTTATCATGTGAGATATCACAATTTGGAGTACATGATCAATAAGGCTAAAGATCAATGTTACTTCAGATGAGACAAAGGTTATACAACATTGTACAAATTTAACTTCAAATAAAAGTTTGATAGTCTTAACGTACATTGTATATAGTTTTGTTTAAAATGTAAAAAAGTTGAAAGTACTTTATATAAATATGAAACATAAAATGTCCATAGTTTTTCTATGTTTTTCTAGATTTCTGTATTTGGTGAAGGAACATATCTATCCAGTGAATTGTCTGTGTCTTTGCATTACAGTCCTATGGGTTTAGGTTGGGATCACAGTACCCTAGGGAAAAAAATCAGCTGTGTGGCCTTGTGTGAGATGATTGATGATTCAGCCGTTAAATGTCAAACAAAAACAGGTAATTTTTTATTCAAGAACAAAAACCTTAAAATTTTCACTACACTGCAATATCATTGAGGCCATGTTTACATTGAGTTAAACTCAGTGTGCTATGGGTGTACTTGACACTTAAACTAAACTCTATTATGTTCCCATTGATAAACATCAATGTTTACATGTAGTTTAAATCAGGTTTTGACTACATGCAGTCAATAGTCAATGTAGGCCGTGTGTGGGTAAAGTGTACATAAACTAGATATTTGGAAGGTGTATTTTATTATGAATATTTATGGAAGTTACATATATTGTATAAAAATGATTATGATAATATCATGAATTAAGTTATTTACCTATCTAAATGAAAAAAACTAAAAAATTGCTAAGTTAAAAACATGGTTTGATTTTCAGTGGGAGGGGGATTTTTTGCTGATGGAATATTCATTTTACACCTGTTGATAGTACGGCTTGTTTATTGTCACATCTATTTCTTGTAAAGTCCTGCATTTTGTAGGACAAAATATTCATTTGATGGGTCCGTAGGTGGCCTGCTGCTAGGCAAAATTGTTGTCACTATCCAATATACTCATATTTTCCACTGGCTGTCCGAATGTCCCTAATCTTCATCCTGGAAGGCTTCTTTTACAGGACCTATCTATTGTATTTATTGCGAATTTGAATTTGTTCTCGTCCTGAACATGTATGAAATATTTGCCACTGGATGTTAATCAACCAACAATCAATCAATCAATCATTTCAAAATCCTTCTTTTTGTTTATTGTGATGCTGCTTTAGCCTGAGTAATCATGACATCTTTAGAACTCTCAAAGTTCTCCAAATCAATAGAGCATTTGGAAAATCAGTGCTGATCAATTATTTTTAAAAGAGTTATGCCCTTGGAAACATTAATTATATGGAAAACGCATCGTTAGCGCTCTCATGTGTTCAATTCTTGCCTGATTTTTATGAAACTTAAATCATAGGTTTATATCAGCAATGTCTTGAACGAGTTTGAAAATCAGTGCCAATCAATTATTTTTTAAAGAGTTCTGTCCCTTGGAAACACTAATTGTATGAAAAATTGCATTGTTAGCACTCTCAAGTGGACAATTCTTGCCAGATTTTTATGAAATTATCATCAATGTCTTTGATGAGTTCAAAAATCAGTGCCGATCAATAATTTTTAAAAGAGTTATGCCCTTGAAAATATTAATTACTGGAAAATTACCTTATGAGCGCTCTAATGTGTACAATTTTTGCCAGATTTTTATGAACTTATCATCAATGTCTTTAATGAGTTCAAAAATCTGTTCCGGTCAATTATTTTTAAAAGAGTTATGGCCCTTGGAAATATTGATTATATGGAAAATTGCATTGTTAGCACTCTCATGTGTTCAATTCTTGCTAGAATTTTATGAAACTTATATCATAGGTTTATATCAGCAATGTCTTTGACACTTTCGAAAATAAATTCTGATCAAATATTTTTAATGAGTTATGCCTCTTGGAAATATTAATAATAACGGAAATCACATGCATTGCTCAAAAGCCTTTATTTCTCTAAGATATTAATAAAATCTTCTAAAGATCAACAAAAAAAGTGCATTTTTTAGTTATTGCCCTTGTACCTTGGATAGATAAAATATGTTTAACGAGGGGGACATTGGAACTCTGTTCTTTTATTTAACTATAAATTGGTAAATTACGTGTACATTTATTGGTGTGAACAATTCTCCTGTACAGGTAATTAAAACCAATGTACAGATAAGAACAAATTTGTTGTGAAACCTTTGTTCATTACATGAAACTTATTGTAAACACATTTACAGTAAGCAACGTTTGGTGTGAACACGGCCTGATTCATGGAAGGAGGTTTAGAATTAACGATGTCAAGTTGATCATTTACGGGTCACAGTCTTTGCAGATAAAGACAGTACCGGTATATGTGCATATATCGTAGTGCAATCTAGCGACAGATAGAAGTCACGACCCTCTGACTACGTCATAATTGACCAATGACAGCACTTGTACTCATTAGTTCAAAGGTGTAAAAATAACGGTGTCCAGCCTTTACAAATTTCCTAAAGCAGAAGCCGCATATGTACACTGACATTCCAACATTTGCATGAGGAACTAAACCAAGAACTTCATTTAGTTGATTAAGAACTTCAAAAGTGTCACTCAATATCGTCCTGTTTTTAAGGTAATGCACGTGGCAATTGTTTATTTACCTTTTCTACTTTTACAAGTGATCATCTTAAATACGTTTTTGATTGGATGCAGCTAGTTATAACTGCTACCAATGGAAATCATTACCTCTTGGATCGCAATTTCTGACTCAATCTGCCAAGAGTGAAGAGGAGTGGGTCAGATCGTAATCCTTGGCTAGCAAAGATTGTACATAAAAACTGTATTGCCCAACCTCAAAGGGGTTGACTTGTGATTATATTTTTTTATTGAATGGAGTGAAATTCAGTATGATCAACCTAAAAAAATCATTTCCTGATACTTATAAATTTTATTTAAAGATCATGTTTGTCTTTACTGTAGATGATAATCAGAACAGATCAAGGGCTACAGGAAGCATGGCTGGAGAAGTTCCAGACAAATATTATGTTGTACAAAACAATGAAGTGATCCGCATCAAATATTTACTGGTTTATGCACAGAAATCTTCCCCCTCCAGGTTTGTTAATATTATCTACAAATACAGAGTTATAGTTTCTTCTAAAGCAATCCAGGAAAGGCTTTAATTGGTTAAAAATGTTCAAGTCTATGAAAAGCCAACAAATGATATAACCTCACTTCACTACAGGTTAAATGTGGCTACATTTATGTATATCAAACATGATGGAATTCCAGATACGTTATATTTTTTTTAGCAAAAGTTAAACTTTTAACTGGTTGTTGATGATCATAGTTAGTCTAGAGAGGTGTTTCAAGGACAGCAAATTTGATATGTTTGACATTGATACACAAATTAATAACTAGTTCTGTAAGAAGAATAAGCTTGTTAAAATATTTGGATCATTTCAGATTTAATGATTTTTTTGAGTGACTACAAAGTTGACATGTGTTAAGACAGTGTTGTACAGTTATTTGAGAGACTACAAAATATGTGACTTTATTTGTAAGAACAGTGTCTTACAACATAAAGACAGTAACAAAAGGCAATAACGCTACAATTATACTGTGGGTTCATTTATTTTTGTGGTTTCAAATTAAGGATTTAAGTGGTTCTGACAATTCCCTAAAATACCTTCAGTAATAGTTGAAAGCCCATGTCTCACAACTTGAATCATGAAGTCTTTAGTGTACATGATTCAGTGCTTTGTCACGGAAAGAGCAAGAACCGTATTCTCTTCCAATAGTAAAGGTTAAGTCACAATATTACAAATAGAAGATATCAATTCTATATTGTTGTCTTTGAGATAAAAAAAAATTGATTTGGCCTTTCTAAAATAGAAAGCCTAATAACATATTTATTTCATTGATAATCAGAAATTTTATTTTGTTTTCCAGGTCATTGACAAGTTGCTGGGTGTCATGGTTACATCAACATAAGTTTGCTGTTATGATGTTCCTTTATATATTAATATTAGGACTAATAGGATTAGCCAATTCTCGAACATTTAAATATTATTTTAGGAAGTATTTTAAAGCAAGATAATAAAGTACATGATTGGAAAAACAAAACTATTTGTTTTATGAAAAAATCACTGACAAAACTGTAAGTGCCTTACCGACACCTAATTACTATCTAGTCTCGTGACATACATAGTGCAGGAATCATGCTGTTGTTTACCAGTTTTGCATTATTTTACCTGGTGACAAAATACTGTTTTTAGGGTTTTTATTGTTTTGTTTTGTTTTTTTTTTGGGTGTTTTAATTTTTTTAGGGGGAGGGGAACATTTTCCCAAGTTGTTCCCCAGAATATTAAAATAAGATTGGCCATTCCCTTAGCTATAGACTGATTTGTTCTTGACCAAGGGTTAACATTTAGTTTTTCAACTTCTTCTAAACCTATGTAATCCTTGGTTAAATTTTCAATGAATGTTCTTTTTTCCCAAATATATGATTATCAACACTTTCCCTAACTCTAGAAAAATGTTTTGGTGGATGAATATGATTACTTTTATTCAGGAATCAGTTATTAAGCTTTATAATCATAATTCAGCACAACTACATTTGTCAGAGGAAAGAGAATCTTTTCACTTTGAATTGGAGCATTGATTGTTGACCTGTACTAGATCAAAGTTAATATACTAGCTTACTAAACATGCTCAATTTGGCTGCAGAAGTTTTATATGGACATAGAAGGTAATAGTTAATAGATCTTGATCTGATAATCCTGACAATGTTTTGGTATGAACCTAAACCTTGAAGTGAAAAGGACTGTAAAACATAATTAGTTCTTTGTTTTTCATACCTGCTAACTTTTCAAAATCTCCATGGGGGTTTTTAAGCTTTTTAAAAGAGGACCTAATACATACCTATACATGTCATTAGTGTACTAGGTAGAACATTGATTGAGTAAATGTGTGTTTAAATGTATTTTGTACTCCTCTGAATGTCTTTTTTAAAGCGTTTTGTCTAAATAATTGAGCTTTATAAGGGACAGGTCAACATCTATCATGGGGGATGTCCCCCTTTAAGCTGGAAAGTTGGCAGGTCTGGTTTCTGATGTTCACAGAAAACGAAGGGTAGGTCATTTAAAACTTGAAATGCCCTTATCATTTGGCACCCTTAATGATTAGTGAAGTATAGTAGGACTATTTGGTCATAAACCTCCTTAGGTATCCAGGAATTTATACATCCTCTGCCTTTAATTTTTTGGAGTTTGAGAATTCCTGACGAAAATCTGAACAATGCTTCGGATTCACAAAATTTATAAACGGTTAACATAGGCGGATCCCTGAGGGGCCCGGGTCCCCCCTTTTGTGGGAAAAATTTGGTTGATTATATAGGGAATCACTGAAGCATGACTGGAGCGGCCCCCCTTATGAAAAGTTCTGGATCCGCCACTGGATTCAATCATTTAAACATCAGTATTCCTTGGTTAAAATTTAAATCAAATGTGGAGCTTGGTTAAATATGAATCATTTAACCAAGGTTTTATCAAGAGTTGAATTTAACCACACCATGGTATATGAAAGGGTTACACTTTTAACCCATGGCAAGAATTTTTAACACTAGGTTTAAATTTAATCTAAAGATGAACGACTGGTACCTATGAAATATCATTGATATGATATATATTAAATATGAACTTTTACAAAACTGAATTGTTTGAAAAACTAAGGATTTTCTAAATTGCTTAAGCTGTATTTGGCAAAATATTTTGGAACTTGGGGTCCTCAATGTACTTCAACTTCATACTTTATTTTGCCTTTTAACGTTTTAGAGTGTCACTGATGAGTTTTGTAAACAAATCGTGCGTCTGGCATACAAAATTATAAGCCGGAATATCTTTGATGTGTTTTCTTTTTCATTTGAATCAAGATTATATTTACATATCCAGAATATGGTTAGAACAAATTGTCCTGATATTTAAAAGTCAATTAATTATTAATTTTTATTTATGAAGGGTTGTTTTATTATTATTGCCAAGCTGTGATATTAGCAAGACTCAAATGTATAACATGCTGTGCATGTTTTTGTTTTAATGTTGTAATATTAGTAATGTATACCTACATAATATACACCCACATAATTCAAGGTAATAAATTGTTTTCGTTGTTACCTTTAGATCTGATTTTTTTTGTAAAAAGAGGATTTTACTTGGAAAGAAGACTTTCAAGTCTTCTGAAATCCTTATACTGCTGGCTAGTCTTTTAATTGCAGAAAACTATTTCAGTAGTGTTAACGTTTCCCTTTCTGTGCTTTATAACTATATAACTTCAAAGCATTATATGGACACTGATATGTTCATATGATCTGTTGCATATTTGTAAAATATCTTGTGCATCATGTTATGATACAACAGTTAGGGAAATGAATTTACAGATAATCTTGAGACAATAATTGAGTGCTTGCCTTAAGTTTTTTAGGTTCTTGTGTTTTAAACTTTTAGTGTCTCCCTTATTTTTCAGTTAAATTTTCATATTTTAATCTGACATAGTTAATTCAAAATTTTTACTTAAACAGATGTTTTGAAATTAGCTTTGGTAGAATGCATATATTTATGACATATTCTAGCATATAGAGGCAATTCAGCCCAGTCAAACAAATGTGTATAAAGAGCAAATAGTGTGAATTCAGAATTTTGAATGAGATTTGGATTTTCAAATATTTTGGCCACAAGCATCACTGAAGAGACATTAATTGTCAAAATTTTCATCTGGTGCAGAAAATTTGGTATCATTAGTGTTATCGATAGATACATTTATTATTGAAAATCTGCCACCTATAATACTGGGAGATTAATTAAATCAATTCCTGTACATGTGATGATCGAGTTATAGTAGCCAACATTTAAATGTAAGTTTTAACTACATTAGTTTCTGAATTCACATTTTAAAATAATTAATATTACTTGTAGTGCAATGAAGTGCAATTGTCAGAACACAAAATTAATAAAATGGAGAAGTTATACATTTGTATACTGAAAAATGTACACTGTTTTCTTTTTGCTTTTCTGTTTCTTTTTATTATTTCCAGTTAATTTATTTGATTTGAATACTAGTTTGTTATACTTCAATACTTTAAGTTTGAACTGTATTTGAATTGAGGAACATTTTTGTCTCGCCTTGACAAAAAGCGAGACATAGGTATGCTGTTTCCTGCGTCGGTGGCGGCGATGGTGGCGGTGTCAACAATGTATTAGTTTGTGATTAGGTCTAGTTCATGGTGAACCACTAGTGGTAGGTCAATGATATTTGGTATGCAGTTGTATTAGCATTGGCACATCTTATTACCATGGAGATTATTTGGCCCCGCCCCCTCAGTCAAGGTCTATTGACTTTGAAACTTTTCATAGTTTACATGTATTAGTTTGTGATAAGGCCAATTTATGGGGAACTACTAGTGGTAGGTCAATGATATTTGGTATGCAGTTGTATAAGCATTGGCATATCTCATTTCCATTGAGATTATTTGGCTTCGCCCCCTAAGTCATGGTCTATAGACTTTTGAAAATTTTGCTAAGTTTACATGTATTAGTTTGTGATTAGGTCAGTTCAAGGGGAACCATTAGTGGTAGGCCAATGTTAATTGGTGTTCAGTTGTATAAGCAATAGCACATCTCATTTCCATGGAGAATATTTCGCCCCGCCCCCTCAGTCATGGTCTATTTACTTTGAAACTTTTGCTTAGTTTACATGTATTAGTTTGTGATTAGATCAGTTTAAGATGAACTGCTAATGTTAAGTCAATGGTATTTGGTATGCAGTTGTATTAACATTGGCACATCTCATTCCATGGAGATTGTTTAGCCATGTACCTTCACTCATGGTTCATTTGATTGATCTCAAACAACTCAGAAGATACAAATCTTTATCACTGCATATTCAGCCTGACAAAAGCAATGTTTTACTCGTAGGATGTGAGAAGGTTAAAGGAAGTAATGAAATGCTAAAATATATGCTGTTCAGGTAACAGGGTATTAAAACTATATTTGTTTAACATTTCTAATTTAAATGTTGCCTTTTATTTCAAACCAATATTAGTTTAATCGTGCAGTAATAAAAAATTTTGATCAGTTGGTGCTTGAATCAAAACAGTTAAAAGGCCAAATTAAAGACAAAGACAAAGTTGAGCATTAAAAACCAAAAATTCTGGAAAGTTATAACAAATATGACTAAGACTTTCTTTGCCTGTTGGTGGAAAAACCTTAGGGCCTTGAATACTTTTTACATGAAAAATCAGTAAACCAAAAAATCAGCGCTGTCATCTGGAAGGTCTTCAACGATAAACAAAACAGGTCTCATCTACAATCATGTGCAGTTCCTGATGAAGGTCTATCCAGAAAAGCACCTCGGACACACGAAATTAAATAAACTGTTCTTTTTATTAACTACTACTGGATTGATATCACTGCAGGTGGAATGTTAGTGTAACCTCAGAAACTGATAATCCGGCTTACGAAAGCACAAATATATGGTTTGAAGAAAAATTAAAAAAACACATAACATAAGTCTATTGAAATGCAGATCCTAAATTCAATATTCTTTAGCTTGGAATAAAGATTGCTTATCCAAATATCAAATAAATACATCAGAAACATTTAGTTATCTTTACATAGATACAAGTATATAAAAGCTATAATAACATGATTATTTCCCTTTCTAAATATTACACACAATTCTTAACTTTTCTCGATCATAGTTTGAAATAATAGAAAGTCTTCAAAGTAATCAACATTTGTTCATGGATAATCAATAATGTTTCAATTAGAAATATCAAAAATTAACTAAACAAACATAATTTCAATCAAGGGCACACAATTGCAATTCACTATACATACCCTAAATAAGGAAATGGCAGACAATTTCATGGCAAAATAACATCCTTTGGTATTTTGTAGAACCTTTTATTTAAAACAGTCACATTTTTGGGGCCCTTTATAGCTTGCTGTTCTGTGCGAGCCAAGGCTACGTGTTTAAGGCCGTACTTTGACCTATAATGTTTTACTTTTACAAATTGTGACTTGGATGGAGAGTTGTCTGATTGGCACTCATGCCACATCTTCTTATATCAATATTGAAAATCATAATATATATTTAAAAAATACACCAACCTTAAATCTTCATATATTCTTGTTCACAAAACTGAGACACAACTACACCTGTCGATCAGTTATATATCAATAGTGAAATACATACAATGCCTTTTATAGCTGACTATGCGGTATAGGTTTTATCCATTATTGAAGGCTGTACGGTGACCTATAGTTGTTAACTTCTGTGTCTTGGTCTCTTGTGGAGAGTTGTCTCATTGGCAATCATACCACATCTTCTTATTTTTATAATATAATGAACAGTTTTTACCTTGAATGAAGTAAATAATATTTTGAAATACCTTCAACTTATAATTGGACAAAATGATCAAAATGTATTATAAATATACTTTGATAAAATATATAAATGCTATTATAAAAATGATGTTTTCTTTTTTTCCAACTTGATCTTATTTCAAAATTTCACTTCATTTACTGAACTCCACACAAAGAGAGATAACTCAAAAATAAATAATGTAATTTTTGACATGTTACATTATTCTCCGAAGGTATCATCGGCTAAGTAGTCAGTCCTTCGGTACTGACATGATTTATAGCTTTTTTTTTATCTAAAATTCTTCTTTGATAAATTAATAATTTAGGTTACAACTCCATCGGTCAAAAATGACCTAAGATAAATTTGGCTACTCTATTTGGGTTGGCCATATATATATAGCTCCAAAATTTAATTTTCAGGACTTTTACATCCTTGGCTTTCAATTTCAATTCTTTTATTATTGAGTGTTCCTGGTGGGTTAATCCTGAAAAGAGCTAAGCACGTACGAAATTATATATAGCGTTAAGTGATAAGTTCATTTACAACAAAATCATTTAGTTTGGTTTAACTAAGTAGTGGTAGATTAAAATATTATATTTTCGCTGGCACATGTGTATTTTTGTTTGGAGGGAAAATCTCTAAGTGGGTTAATTTTTTATTAAGTTTGAACTGGGGTAATTAATTCGGGTTAACTAATCCCGGGTCAGACCCGTAGCAGATTTATACCATAGTGTGAACACGGTATAATACATTTATCTATTATTCCCAGCTCAGAAGAATCATCATGATGATATCCGACACGCAGCGAAGAACTCTATAAATTAGTTTCTTCACTTGGTGTACACTAATGTTAAGTCACTCCATAGATATAATAGCCATATCTATTATATTTATGGTCAATCTAATCAAAATATAGATCTATCGTAACTTGCGTCGAAGTCGGCATCTATATTTTAATCGGATTGATGTTCAGAACACCTGGCCAATAATGACTAATGCCATCACTAAATGTCCGTCGTCCTTCGTCGCCCATCGTCTGTCGTCCGTTTAATTTAAGAAAGAAATATCTAAACTGATAGGCCAATTGGGACAAAACTTGTATTTAATCATCCTTAGAGTATCCAGTTTAAAAAGATATGTCTGATGCCCGGCTTTTTCAGTAACAACAGGAGGTCAAAATTGATTGGAATTTTTTCTTTAAAAAAAGCACTGACTTTAAAGAGTCTTCTCAGATGAGATATGCAGACTTGACGCCACAAGACAGGATTTTTTCAACATGAATTGATAACAAACATATGATACCGATTTCAGATCGTGCGATCGATACCAAACATTTTGGAAGCAATTAAACAAAACAAAAGGTCAATAGTGAATGAAGAGTTGCAAAACAGAAGTTTCTAAAGAGGTAAAAATAACGACAAAAGACAGAAAACACGTGCATGGCCGATAAGCAAAGGAAAAACAACCGAGAAGACAAACTTACAGTTCACACGCCACCATACAGAAATCCAAAAGTAGAACAAAACGAATTTAAGAATTAGCATCTAGAATCAATCATAATTTCTCGTTTAGAAAATGTCAATAATGAAACACTTATTAGATTGATGATGCTATCGGGATATAAGCAAACTAATCAAAGATACCAGCTGGCTAATAATTTCGACGACAGACGCGCATTTAGTCTACATAAGACTCATCATTGGCGTTCGCCTGAATTAAAACGGTTTGCAGGCCAAATCAAGTACGAACTTGTAGAGCTTTAAAACCCGAAAATTCCGAAAAGTTGTGCCATATCAGGCTAAAGCAATCTATACCTGAGAGTAGAAAACCCTTAGTGCTTTCGAATAGTTCAACATTTTATATACAGTCAGTTTAAAGAAAATTCACAGATCAATGATATTTCATGTTAACGCTAAAGTGCTAACTACTGGGCTAGTGATACCCGGGGAACGAAACGTCCACCAACTGTGGCATCGACCCAGTGGTTGTTATAACTCATGGAAGATACCAAGCTTATAATTGTGTACGCCAGTTGAGTTTCGTCTACCTAAGACTCATCAGTGGCGCTCTAATTAAAACAACTGAAAGGACAAATCAAATACGAAGTTGTAGAGCTTAAAAAACTCAATCTCGGATAAAAATGCAGAGCAATCTTAACTCGCGTGCTCGTATATATAAGGATAACGAAATAAGAGATCTATATTTTAATTAGATTTTTGAAAACCGAAAATTCCGAAAAGTTGTGCCAGTTATGCCTAAGACCATCTATACCAGATGACCGGCTATTCAGTCGGGTTTGAATTATTCAGCTTTTAATATACAGCAAATTTACCGAAAATTAACTTATCAATGATATCTTATGTCAAAGCAAAAGTACTGATAGTCCACCAGTAGTCTATTAATATGGACTTATTTATTGTTTTAAAATTCAAAGTTGTCTAAACAGTGTTTCCAGGTTAATATAAACTTTAATACAAATTAAACATAAATATTTAATTGTTGAATGATCAACTTTTAAAAGCCTGGCAATATTTTACTTAAAGCATGAAATCTATGGACGAATTTTAGTAAAGGTTTTAAGTAATTTGTGGTAACGAAATCCCTGACTTAATAATTTACCAGTTATATATAGATT